TATCAACATATACTACATTAATGATTCAGCCTAGAGATCAGACAATCGATTGCAGCTGTCAATAGGCGTTGATATTATTCTAGTAAAGACATAGAAGTATCTCTCTTGACTGACAACACCTATACTCCCAAACGCACTCATCATCTATGATATATAGCACTAGATATGCATTTTAGAATTGAATTATGTAGTAGTACCAGGAGTATTTAAGAGAAAATTTTGTTCATATGACACCTGATTTTGTATGCATTAACGAAGAGTACCGCATTTAAATCAAACAAGTTATATGACATCTTTACTATTCTATGTAGTACGATCCAACGGCTTTAATCTTTGTCATATCATGAAGATCTATCAAAAAAGTGAATACATAGTTTAACATAAAAGAGGCATAGAAAGCTCGAATCTGATCAATTTAATGAAACAGTAATCGTACTTGATGTACGCCTCTGTAGAAGCAGTGTATAAAGCAGAGAAGAATAAAGTACAGATTTGACAGGCCAAAAGCAGGTAAACGAGTTGTTATGACAACGTAGACAAACAAATATCAATAATATATAATATAAGAAAAGACGATTAAGGTATTTTAATCGAGCCAAGACGAAAGTAACCCTTATAACATAAAGACTGGTCGCAGTTCTTTTTTAATGAAACCAAATAAAAGTGCTACAATTATTGTAAAAAACAAATTACATTTTAAAAACTTATTAAAACTTTAAAGATATCGAAAGAAGTCTGTATTCTTCTCTAATAGTGGTTACCGATGAGTTTTAGTTTTTTTTTAAAATTCTGAGGTCGTTATCAGTGAATATAAGCTTTGGTAGACTTATCTAAAAAAAAAGAAAGCTTCTTAAAGAAAACTACTTCATTATTATTTAAAAATTTATATGTCTGAAATAGGACAGTACCTTATGTTATCTATTGTTAATTTGTATCAGAAAGGCTTTATTTATTTCCTTACAGTTTCATTTATGTTAAAGGCCACATAATAAAAAATCATATTGAGCTATAAAATTGTTGATGGGAGAAGTTTTTATAAATTAAAGTAATTGTAAAACTTTCATATTTATTACGTTAATATCCCCTATAGGTTACATGTACACCTAACATTTTATCATGAAAACTACTTTACCTTTTAATATAATTTTTAAAACTACTTATGGGAGTATGATTGAAATCTCAAATGAGGTCACATTTATGGTAGCAATTATTGACATGAACTGCATAAAAATAAAGAAATTTATATAGTATATATACAATATATGGAAGTCTTATTAAAAACTGAGTTAATATGGATAAATTTTTAACAAGTAATAAAATAGTTGGTAATATACGTTTTGGGCGATATTTCAATTTAATATTCTTTAAACAAATAAGTAATGTTTCTTTTTTTTTTTTAAAAGTAGACGTGAAAATTGCCCAACAGCCGATACTGCTGCCAGAAGAGTCCTATTGTACCAGTTTTACTATTGATTAAACAAAGCCCCTTAAAGCTTTGTGAATAAAGTCTAGAACTAAATCTAGAGAAGAGTTCTTAATCTGCTCTCTGGTGACAAAAATTCTTTATGAAACAGGTTTCTTCTGTGCGTTATTAAAGCTGGATAGTCACAAAGAATGTGTATGGTCGTTTCCTCATCTTCGAGGCATAATCTGCATTCCGAGTTAGCAGATAATTGTAGTTTATGAAGGTGATATTTTAGACCATAATGACCTTTAATGAAACCCGTTATCAACCTTAAATTACATTTTGAGAATTTAAGAATGTCTTTTTAGAAGTACAGTGTTATCAGTGCTTTGCTTTGTCTGAGTCCTGGAAAGTTTACCCAGTATTCCAGCCGCATATGATTTTCCATTTTCTTGTTAATCTGTTTTGTACTGGCCCAGTTTATTCCACAAAAGGGTTAAGGGATAAGTAATGTTAGTAATAAGTAGTAAGTATAATAAATTTACTATGGTTAACCAGATCCGTACTAAGTATTTATTGTAATAGAGCTTGTTTTCATTGTTGTTGTTAAAAATCTCATTCGTCTAGTACACAAAACCGTCTGATATAATTTCGTATCGGTTTATGTTATGACAAAAAGGATATTTTGGAACTCCTACAGGATTGCCATTCTGACATTCATTCAAAAGACTTAATGTCTGTATTTCGTTCCGATCGGGTCACTTGTAATATAAAATATTTGTTGGTATGGGTGTTGTGCTCTGCTTCATTGGGAGCCTGAAATACTATTGTACTTCATTAATAATGATGAAGTATTATTGTTATTGAATTAACAACAAAATTTGTTTACTTCAGTGAAATGTATGTGGTTCTTAGTCCTATTCACTTTTTTTTTGTTTATCTCATCATTTTCATAATTTCATTTTTTTTATTATCAATTCCCGATCAATTTTAAATGAAATTCAAAGCTCATGATATTTTATTTGTATGAAACCGCAAACAGATGATTCTATTCTATACGTGTTGAGGTGGCAATAAATTTCAATTGTGTCGGTACATAGGCTTTGTAAGCATTAAGCATTTGCTTTCTGGCAGGGATTGATTGCAGTTAGAAACCACAGCTACTCTAAATGAAAAATAAGTCAATCTGCACAAATAAACAAAAATGAGAAAATAAAAACCGCATAATTAATGCTAAATGACGTTAAGTAAATAACATAAAATAAATTTAATATTTTCACTTAAAAGCCCTAAAATTGAACTGGATTAAGTTAAGAAGATGTGCGTGCGGGTAACAGCATTTGCCAGAAATATATTTCAATTCATAAAAATTGTGGCATAGGAAGGGACTGCACTCTGTGCACCGATAGAACTGTAGCAGTCATGGGAACTTAACGAAAATGTCATTAATCACTTAGATTATCGCAACCAAAAATATGTTAAAATGTGTGAAATGTGTGAAATGCAATGAAACCAGACAAGATTCATATAAATAAATTTAAAAAAAATTGGTAAGCAGTAAGCAGAAAACA